TTATCGGGTATTATTTGTAGTGAATCTAGTATGTGCTGAATCAAAACACTATTGAACACATCTTGTGTTGTAAAGAATAAAGTAAAGCCTTATTCAATACGATCGCTTAGAAATAAGAGTGCGTTCGTGGGTCGGGTGTTTACGTTCCTGAAGGGCTTACACTTAGCAAACACTGTGATGACCGTAATGGATGAATGTAACGTGGAGAACAATTATTATAACAGAAAATCGTTACTACATATTCATTTGGCATTCTAGTCACAGTTTGGCTCAAAAATGACCATCAAGGGAAACTCGCAGGAATCATTCAGAATTTCTAAAAAAGAAATCGTACTCTATACTTTGCACTCCCGCTATCTGAGCTCACACCATGTGACACTCGCTCGAACTGCTGCAGTGCGGCCCGCTTCACTCAGCTTCACTCAGCGCAGCGACCTGGACGCCCTAGAGGTGCGTCCATTCCTCCTCGGGGCTGTCGTCGGCCGTGCTGGCCTGCGAGGTCGGCGAGTCCCTCTCCAAAGCTGTCACTTCAGGAGTCGGCGCTTTCTTGGCACTGAGACGCCCCACGGTGGCGTAGGTCTCCACTCGGCCGTCCTCCACGTTGTCGTACATGCTCCGGCGTCCATCCGGCGTGAGGGCGGGCTCCGGCGACAGGTACGGGGAACGGCTGGGGGACTGGAATGTGCTGTCAGGAACGTTCACCCCGGCGGGAGAGAGGTTGGGCAGGTGCATGGGGACGCTCGTCTGGTCTGCCTCCGAGTCGGTCGGCGACGGAGGGACCTGCCCGTCGCCCTGGTAGGACGTCAGCAGCCGGAACACCTGTCAGCGAGACGATCATTTAGTTAGAGAATCTACAGTATACAGTCAATTAAACGAATCAGTTAAATGAGAATATTCAAAAGTAGAAATTTGGCGTCTATCCATCACTAATACAATATTTCCCCAACTGGAGGATCTACAATGCATAAAAAATCCTGCGACACAAATGAACGACAAAAACGAGAGGAGGACCTCGTTGAGCGTGGTCTGCGAGACGTCGTACTCGGTGACCCCGACCAGCTTGGCGGAGTCGAGGGTGTCGAAGACGAGGCGGAGCGGCAGCCGGCGACTCACCTCCGCCACCAGGGAGAGGTGATGCTGCTCCTGAGGGCGTGGGCGAAACGTCAGTATTTTTCCCCTCCTATTATTGCTGTGGGCGGTACTTTCAAAATGCAACCAGTGGCTTTCGAGGTGACATGGCCGGTATTCATTAACTTTGCTTTAAATATTAATTAATGGCATTCGAAGACCTTCCCTTGATTCCATTTAGTAGAAAGGAGATGCATAACATTTCAAAATGGAAATATTTGGCAACTAAAAAGAAATTGAAAGTTGACTGACATATCACTTCAAAATGGCATGAAATATGAGGACATATCACTTCAAAATGGCATGAAATATGAGAGCCGCCCAGACGGCGGCTCTCGGGCTCAAGTGGCCGGACAAGTGGTAAGCACGTCAAGTGGCAGAATCAAATTGTAAGACCAAATAGTAAAATTAAATGGCATGGTTAAGTGGCAGAATCACGCGGCATGATTAAGTGACAGAATCAAGTGTCATAGTTAAGTGACAGAATCAAGTGTCAGGGTTAAGTGACAGAATGAAGTGACATGGTTGACAGAATCAAGTGGCATGGTTAAGCAGCAAGGATAAGTGGCAACGTGAACTAACAAGGTCAAAAGGCAGAGCCAAGTGACGGAGTTTTAAGTGGCAACGGCGTCAGTATGAACAGAAGCGACCATACCTTGAGCAGGACTTCGTTGAGCTGTCCTCTCAAGTAATCGACGATGACGGGCAAGTCCTCTATGTCTTTGGCCTTGACGCGTATCGTGTACTTGTCCCCGAGTCTGGATGGAAAGAGGTGAAAATCGTTTAAATGTCAAGGGATATTCAGACACTTGTCTTTCTTTATATGTAACTGTAAGACTGAAAATTGTTATGTATTTAAGTTGCTATGTATTAGTTGTTGCATCATGAATTAAGATTTACCGTTGTTGTCTCAGAAATTAAATTATATAAGCAGTGTTACTATATAAGTCCATATTTGTCAGTAGGTGATACATAAGACAAAATAGACTGAAAAGACCGAATTTCTCACTTGTATTTGAGGTAATGCGGGGAACCCATACACACGAGGTACCCGTTAACCATAATGGCCATGCGGTGCGAGAGGTGGTTGACCTCGTCCATGGAGTGCGAGGTCAGCAGCACAGTGCGTCCGTCCTGGGTCACGCTTTGCACTGCGCGCCACACTATTCGTCGGGAGGCTGGGTCCATTCCCCTGCAAAACCAATGACCACTGGGTAGTAAAGCTCACAGGCCTTTTCAGGTCTGGCGTCATGTGTTGCGAGTCCAGCGCCCTGATAGCCCTGGTGAAGCCTACGGACCCGATTTCCCTAATATTAACTTGGTACAGATATGATTTACAGGATTTTGCATCTGGTGGAAGTGCATTTCGTTG